TTTGGGGTGTCTCTCCTCTTTAGAAAGTTGTCAGCTTCAAAGCAGGGCTGGGAATAGCGCAAGTGGGCTGGAATGAAGAGCTTTCCCCCCATTTCAAATGGGACAATCTCCCATGGATGATGTGGATCACATCTTCTGCCCTCCACTTGGCTTCTACAGAGTGATCACCGGTGGAACCTCCAGGCCACTGATAAGAATAAGCTGTGGGAAAGCATCGCCCCGGCTTTGGCACGGAGAGACCACCCTTGGCCAATTGCACAAACACAGCACAATCTCACTGTCTGGCCTGTGGGAAAAATACATTTTCTCTCCCATGTGCCTGGCTGCCAAATCAAAAACATGTCGGATCCTGTCCGATTCTCCTGTGTTTACCTGTCTGCTTTCACTTCCCTTGGGAAACTTCGGTCTTCGCTGGGAACAAGGGATGGGACAGGATGGGGTACAGTTTGTTTCACCCCCTTCTACCTCTAAAAATATTGGAGCCCGTTTTCCGTTGCCGAGCATCCAAATTTTGATCACGTGATGGTGGAGGAATGCTACAATGGCCCTTAGTGTGAAAAATAGTCATAAGTCCCATTTTTCAGGACGTAACTGTGAACGGACACTAAGTGAACTGTTGTAAGTCAAGGACTACCTGTATGTCCACCAAATGAGCTTCTGAAGTCCTTTCCCAACTATCAGCCAAGACTGACTGGATCCCTACCTCCAAGAAGTGACAGTGTAGAAGAGGGGTCTTCAAACTTGGCCCTTTTATGATTTGTGGACTTCAACTCCCAGAATTCCTCAGCCAGGCACGTGTGCCCAGCTGAGGAATTCTGGGAGTTGAAGTCCACAAGTCATAAAAGGGCCAAGTTTGAAGACTCCTGGTGTAGAACATCGTATTGCTGTTCTTGCATCCTTAGACGAAAAACAGCAGCCAGACCTCACAGAAGGAGAACAAGGATGTGTTTCCCATAAACAGGGCCCCGAACGACAGTCAGGCCGGTGACACAATCAAGGGACAAAGTGTAAAACTGTTGGCAACACAAACTTTGGCCCGGCGAGGCTCTAAAAAAATTGGGAGGAAAGTCCAAGTCTTTGAGAAAAACAAGGATTCTTTCGAGTCCAGACACAGAACAGGTTTTATAAAGGTGAGAGGGACCTCGGAGTCCTAGTGGACAATCACCTAAATATGAGCCAGCAGTGTGATGCAGCTGCCAAAAAGGCCAACACAGTGCTAGGCTGCATTAACAGAGTGATAGAATCAAGATCACGTGAAGTATTAATACCACTTTACAATGCCTTAGTAAGGCCAGACGTGGAATACTGCATCCAGTTTGGGTCACCGCGATGTAAAAAAGATGTTGAGACTCTAGAAAGAGTACAGAGAAGAGCAACAAAGACGATTAGGGGACTGGAGGCTAAAGCATATAAGGAACGGTTGCTGGAATTGGGTATGTCTAGTTTAATGAAGAGAAGGACGAGGGGGGACAGGATAGCAGTCTTCCAATATCTCAGGGGCTGCCACAAAGAAGAGGGAGTCAAGCTATTCTCCAAAGCGCCTGAAGGCAGGACAAGAAGCAATGGATGGAAACTAATCAAGGAGAGAAGCAACCTAGAACTAAGGAGAAACTTTCTGACAGTTAGAACAATTAACCAATTAATTTAAAAAAAAAAAATAAAGAGGAAGGGGAGAAGATGGATTAGGTTGCTTCCAATTCCAGCAAAGATATACATAGCCTTGGCTGGTTCACTCGCATGGAATGGATATAGATATGGCTGAACTATAACTCTCAAGTTGTTGAGGTTCCTGGAACTTTGTCATGTCTGGATCATCTTGGATTTCTCCTGCAACATGGAGCTTGGTCTTCTTTCGGCTTTCTTTCTCCAGTTGATGTTCCATCATCCTCAGCCATCAAAGAGAAGGAAGCTTTGTTGAAGTTCACTCAACAGCTTAGTTACTGCTGATTGAATTTCTAGTGTGCAAATCCTGCCATCTGGAGGTTAAAGTGTGAAACTACAGCTCTTCCAGCAGGCACCACTATGGCCATTCTTTGTGATTCACACAACTTGCACTAACAAAAGAATATCTCGTGTTCACAATTGCATGAAACCATAACAGGCTTAGCAAACCCAGCTACAGGCTGGAAGGGACCTTGGAGGTCTTCTAGTTCAACCTCCTGCTCAAAGCAGGAGATCCTATACCCTTTCAGATAGGTGGCTGTCCAGTGCTTTCTTAAAAACTTCAAGTGTTGAAGCATTCACAACTTCTGGAGGCAAGTTGTTCCACTGGTTAATGGTCCTCGCTGTTAGGAAGTTTCTCCTTAATTCCAGGTTGCTTCTCTCTTTGATCAGTTTCCAACCATTGTTTCTTGTCCTGCCCTCTGGTGCTTTGGAGAATAATTTGACCTCCTCTTCTTTGTGGCAGCCCCTCAAATACTGCTATCATGTCACTTGTTGTTGTTAGTTGTGAAGTCGTGTCCAACCCGTCACGACCCCATGGACAACGTTCCTCCAGGCCTTCCTGTCCTCTACCATCTTCTGGAGTCCATTTAAGCTCACGCCTACTGCCTCAGTGACTCCATCCAGCCACCTCCTTCTCTGTCGTCCCCTTCTTCTATTGCCCTCAATCTTTCCCAGCATCAGGCTCTTCTCCAGTGAGTCCTTCCTTCTCATTAGGTGGCCAAAGTATTTGAGTTTCAATTTCAGGATCTGGCCTTCTAAAGAGCAATCGGGGTTGATCTCCTCCAGGACTGACCGGTTTGATCGCCTTGCAGTCCAGGGGACTTGCAGGAGTCTCAGTCCTTTGGTGCTCAGCCTTTCTTATGGTCCAGCTTTCACAGCCATACATTGCAACTGGGAAAACCATGGCCTTGGCTATACGCACTTTTGGGTATGTCACTAGACATACCCAATTCCAGCCATTGTTCTGCGACCCTCCCCAACAGAGAAAAACTGCCCCTCTGCACACCCAACCGTTTGCTTAGTGACTGTTCTGTTATGACACACCTCTCCCAGTTTTGAATTTGAATTGGGTGGGAGTGTACATTACTTAGAAGTCTTTGCGAAGGAAACAAATTCAGGATCGGGAGGGTAAATTAAAAATAGGAAACGTGCCAGTGACCCCTTGATCTGCCTCCGAATTGTGACCTCCTTCTCAAACTTTATTTAATCATTAAATTCTGTTCCATTCACTAAAGCTTGATTTGGACTTGGCTGCAACCGTGTGAGGGCGTTGACACTGCAAAGGGGTTGATGGATAAGTGTGTGATGCAAGGTAGTTGCAGACCTGCCCGTCTCAACCACGCACTGTGTGGAGACACGCTACTTCCTGCTGGGAAGTTTTCTGTGCTTTGTCACTTGAGCGCCCCCTAGCCAGGAGGTGGATATTTGCAGAAGTATACTGTAAATGCCTCTTTCTCTGAACAACGGACACATACATATTCTCCAATGAAGGAGAATACAGGTAATCCTCCACTTACAACAATTCAGCCCCGAATTTCTGTTGTTAAGCGAGACGTTTGTTGAGTGAGCTTTGCCCTGTTTTATGACTTTTCTCACCACGGTTGTTAAGTGAAACACTGCAGTGGATAAGTTAGTAATCTGGGAATCCGGCTTCCCCCATTGACTTTGCTCGTCAGGAGGTCACAAAAGGGGATCGCGTGATCCTGGGACCCAGCAAAGGTTGTCAATATGAACCAGTGGCCAAGTGTCTGAATTCCGATCACATGATCGTGGGGATGCTGCCAAGGTCATAACTATGAAAAATGGTCAGAAGTTACATTTTTCAGTGCCACTGTAGTTTTGAATGGTCACTAAACAAACCATTGTGAAGTCGAAGACTAGTTGCATTTGTAGCTCAAGGTTGAAATGAGAGATGATGATGATGATGATGATGATGATGATTATTAATAATAATAATAATAAGCACCTGCAACATAACACCCTGGACTTAACAATTGTCGATAAGAAAGACAAAAAAGTCTGGAGAGTGGATGTGGCAGTGCCTGGAGACAGCAGAATAAACGAGAAAGAACTGGAGAAGATAACAAAATACAAAGACCTACAAATAGAAATAGAAAGACTGGGGCAAAGGCAAGCAAGGGTAGGACCAATAGTAATTGGCGACTTGGGTGCAATCCCAAAACAACTGGAGCACCACTTGAACACCTTCATTGGCATTGACAAATTCGCCATTAGTCAATTGCAAAAGGCAGCCTTACTAGGAACTGCTTCCATCCTGTGACGAGATCTGTGATACCATCAAACATCCACATCTGCCTATCCCAGGTCCTTGATAAGGACCTGATAGGTAGACAAAATGCCAAATCCAGTCTGAACATCTGGCTGACTGTGCGATGATCCAGATCAACAACAACAACAACAATAATAATAATAGTAATAATAATAATAATAATTCTAAGTTGGAAGGGACCTTGGAGGTCATCTAGTCCAGGGATAGGCAAGCTTGGCTCTTTTATGACTCATGGACTTCAACTCCCAGAATTTCTGAACCAGCCATGCAGAGGGGAAAGGGAGAGGTTTCCAAGCTGAGCCATGCTGGCTCAGGAATTCTGGGAGTTGAAGTCCAGAAGTCAGGAAGGGGCCAAAGTTCCCCCATGCTGGCTCAAGAATTCTGGGAGTTGAAGTCCATGAGTCATAAAAGAGCCAAGGTTGCCTACCCCTGATCTAGTCCAACCCCCTGCTCAGGCAGGAAACTCTATACCATTTCAGACAAATGGCCGTCCAGCCTCTTCTTAAAAAATTCCAGTGTTGGAGCATTCACCGCTTCTGGAGGCAGGTTGTTCCACTGGTTAATCTTTGGTGCTCTCTGATCTCGGTTGTTTTCTTGCAGACGTTTCATTACCAAGCTAGGTAGCACCATCAGTGTTAGGGACACGTATGTTCCCTGACGTGCAGGGACACTTTGAAGTCTAATCCAAGCTTAACCATTACGGTCCCTCCCCACAGCCTCACTGCCCCAGTGTTGGATTCCAGAAAGTTAAGAAACAAGTGTTTTATTTTGTTTGACACAGAAACCCAGCTCGCTTCTGTGTCATTCACAGCCCAAGAGTCCCGCCAGGTGACGAAGGAAAGAGAGCCTCAAGTCTTAATGCAGCACAGCCTTGAAAGCCACGCAGGCCGGATCTAAGGTGAGGCCAGGAGTGCCAGTCGCTCTATTTGCTAATGAAGATAAAACTAAATTAAAGCAAGAAACCAGAGCTCTAAGGCAGGTCCGTCTTCGTTTTGGAATCAGTTCAAGCATTGGAAGCAATCAGTTGCATTTGGCTGTTACCGGCTTCATTGTGTCTCGCGTAAGAGTGCAGAAGCGACAGTGGGAACTTCCTAGAGGCCCTGAATGTGGTTGATCTTGAGAAAAGAGACGTGCCTTAAATAGGTACATCCTGGATTCCGCATTTGAGGTTCGCAGGAACTGCAACATCTGCCAAAGAGGAGAGAATGGAAGCATTAGATCAGGGCTTTTCAACCAGTGGTATGGGTACCACCTGTGGTACATTGGCACCTGGCAGGTGGTACGCAAACATCCTAGAAAAGTGGTAGCGGGGAATGAGCTGAACCGGTGGCAGCACCGCACAAGCCTGAGCGAGAGACGGCTGGAGCTGCAGGGCTGTCAGGGCTCAGTGGAAGCGCCAGGATCAGCTCCAGCTGGAGCTTGGCGCTGATCCTGGCGCTCCCGCTGAGCCCAGAAGAAGCGCCGATCAGCTGGAACGTTGCAGCATCTCCAGGGTCTTGTGATTTACATTCAGATGCTTGGCAACTGATTCATATTTATGAGGGTCACAGTGTCCCAGGGTCATGTGAAGTGACCAAAACCTGCTGCAACCACCCAGCAGACGGGGGGAATAAAAACCAAACACCCCCCACCCCACCCCCGCTGCCAATCCCCAACAGAAATGCTCACAACAATGAAAACCTCGGACAGGAGGAAGAGCGCGGCCAGGTGGGCAGGCAGGTGTCTTGCTCGGCTGTGGCTTGGGGGACACTTTTTTCAGTGCCACTGTAACTTTGAATAGTCACTAAGCGAACTGTTGTAAGTCGAGGACTACCTGTACTTTATCACTCCCCCCCCCTTTTTTTTTTTTAGTCATCAAGTTTTTGACACCTTGCTAGGCGACTGGTGGTACTCGGATATTGCCATATCCTAAAAGTGGTACAATGGGTGAAAAGGTTGAAAAGCCCTGCTCTAGAGCAGGGGTCTCCAACCTTGCCAACTTTAAGACTTGCGGACTTCACAACTCCCAGAATTCCTCAGCCAGCAAAGCTAGAGGTTCTTCCAGAACAGCCATAACATAAAGCAGATTGTAGCCCAAAAGGGACCCCCACCCCCCTTCTTCTGCTCCTCTCTCTGAACAGAAGCCAGCCTCACCAATCTGTTTGGGTTTGGGTAGGTTCAGATTGTTCATAAGCTCAACAAAACCCTCCTTGGACAAGATCAGACGAGGATTCAGAGTCCGTTCTTCCTCCACCGTTGACACTGTTTGGCCTGGAACGGAGGAAAAGGGAAGAGATTGGACGTTATTGCCCATATAATATGCACTAATTTTAAGGTTTTAGTTCATGAAGCCCCATGCCGTAACGCAGTGGGTATATCCATGTCTAATTAAGAATATTGCTTGCAATAATAAAATCTAATGCAAACTAAACTTAAAGGGGAAAAAAAAGAATGGAATAATGAGTAAAGAGTGCTCAGCAACTCACCTGTATAGTCGTGGGCAGGATAGATCAGGCAGTCACCTGGAAGCGTGAAGATTTTCTTGTGGACTGAGTTGTAGAGAGTTTCGGCAGAACCTGGAGAAGAGAATAGAGCTATAACCATCAAGCAGATTCTTTTTTCTAATATAGAGCTTGGAGCAGGATGCCCTGGGGGGGGGGGTATATCCCCAACTCCTATCCTGCCAAACATTAGGGCGCAAACCATCTCTTGTAACCTATGCGTAAGTCTCCTTCACGCAGTCAAACTCTCTAGAGCAGGGGTCTTCAAACTTGGCCCTTTTATGACTTGTGGACTTCAACTCCCAGAATTCCTCAGCCAGGCACATGTGAAGGGGCCAAAGTTTCCCCCATGCTGGCTGAGGAATTCTGGGAGTTGAAGTCCACAAGTCATGAAGGGGCCAAAGTTTCCCCATGCTGGCTGAGGAATTCTGGGAGTTGAAGTCCACAAGTCATAAAAGGGCCATAGTTTCCCCATGCTGGCTCAGGAATTCTGGGAGTTGAAGTCCACAAGTCATAAAAGGGCCAAGTTTGAAGACCCCTGCTCTAGAGCAACTAGAGTTTTGGGTCACTTGGGGAAAAGAGCATGCATCAAACAGGTACGCATAAATCCAGTTCCAAACTTCATCAAAGGCAAAAATGTTCCTCTTCAAGTGGAAAAAACAACCGTTTCTAAAACAGAGTGGACTTTGCTCACCCTTCAGGAGGGTCTACAATGTTTACACGTTGTGCAGAACAAGGGAAGTAAAGTCCAGGGGCAAAATTCTGAACTATTCTTGGAGATTCCAACCAGAAATATAGTTTATAGTTTTGGTCCTACTATAAAAATCTCCACTCTCTCCCAAGGTGCACAGCTGCAATGGGGTTCATAGCCAGACCCCCTAAGTCTTCCATACCTTGCTGAAAGTCTGTCCTCCCGCATCCCCGGATCAGCAAGGCATCTCCTGTAAAAGCCATTGTCTTGTCGTTCAGCACGTAGGTCAGGCAGCCGTCCGTGTGGCCAGGGGTGGCACGCACCTCCAATGCCTGAAATCACAGTAGCATGTTACTAACATTCCTAGAGCCTGTCTCACCTTTTATATTAGCATTCTGTTCTTGTTCCCTCCCTAAAGTAATAGAACTACAACTCCCAGAATTCAAAGCAGCAAGGTTCTTTGGAAATGCTAGACAACATAGTCCAGGGGTAGGCAACCTTGGCTCTTTTATGACTCGTGGACTTCAACTCCCAGAATTCCTGAGCTAGCCGTGTTGGCTGAGGAATTCTGGGAGTTGAAGTCCACAAATCATGAAGGGGCCAAAGTTTCCCCCATGCTGGTTCAGGAATTCTGGGAGTTGAAGTCCACGAGTCATGAGGGGGCCATAGTTCCCCCATGCTGGCTGAGGAATTCTGGGAGTTGAAGTCCACAAGTCACGAAGGGGCCAAAGTTTCCCCCATGCTGGCTCAGGAATTCTGGGAGTTGAAGTCTGCAAGTCATGAAGGGGCCAAAGTTTTCCTCATGCTGGCTCAGGAATTCTGGGAGTTGAAGTCCACAAGTCATGAAGAGGCCATAGTTCCCCCATGCTGGCTGAGGAATTCTGGGAATTGAAGTCCACAAGTCATAAAAGAGCCAAGGTTGCTTACCCCTGACATAATCCCAACACACTTTGGATATGTATCACCTTAACAACATTCTCTATCGAAGCCCAGGCTATCAAACCATAAAAGAAGGTTGTTTACAGAGAGTCCTCAAATTAGCACCATAATTCAGCCCATAATTATAAATACCTTTTTCATCGCAAGTACCTTTTTCAGGGTCCATCATAACTTCAAACAGTCACTAACGTGACCAGTCGTAAGTTGAGGACTTTATGCAAATCATACTTTAACAGTCGTGGCCATTTAGTTCTCATTAAAGGGCAAGCAAAGCTACATTTCCTCTTGTGGCACGGAGAAGAATTTCAGTTTTGCCCAAAACTGAGCATGTGGTCAAACAAGAGCTCTGAACCAAACTTATGACTTTGGGCTATCTGAAATCATCTAAAATGAACTCGAAAGATAAACTTCCACAGGACTGGAGCCCAAAGGTAGCTTCTAGGAAGTAAATCTGTCCAAGAGGAGCTTTGCAGAAGTACGAGAGAATTAAGCAAGCCTGTTGATGAACTGTTGGAAAATAAACTAGGAGGCAGGGTGGAGCCCAGGAAGTGATAAATATATTATTTCTAAATGAGAGGAACTAGCAGCTTCACTCTATTCTGTGCTGGGCAGGCCCCCTCTCACATATTGTGTCCACAATTTATGATGAAGGGTTCAGAAAAACTGGACCAAATTCAGAAAAAGGGGAACAAATATGAATAAAAGACCGGTCCAATTTACAATGGGGGCGTTCGCTTAACAACCCACGATAGTACTGGTTTTGTAAAATTGGGTTGATCCACACGACCAGCCTGTTTTTACGATTGTCACAACTTTATAACTGTGATGGGCATCCCCTTCCTCTTTGTGCTATTTTATTCTCCGGGAATCTGTTCACAGACTTACAAAATCTCCAAATTTGAGGTGATAGCCTTCCTGGATCAGGAGATCAGCGATGGCTCCACTGTCCTTGGAGATGACACTACGACAGCCTGGGAGAAGCTGCTTCAGAAGTCCCGTGCCGGAGATATGATCAGCGTGGCAATGGGTGTTGACTAACAAGAAGAGGAGAAAGATAAAGCTGTTTATTTCTGAGGTTTTCACGGGTGTTTGTATGTAGGTCTTTGGATATTCGGGTTTTCTCCCACGTAAAATTGGAAGTGTCTTGGCGACGTTTCGACGAAGTCACATTCGTCATCTTCAGGCTGGTGTCTTCAGCTTCGTGCTTCTGGGAGTAGTGTGCGATCGCAGCTGTTTCTTCCTTTTAACTGCCAGTGGGGTTTGAGCTGATTGGGTGGGAGC